ATCTAAAGATCTTTTTTCCAAAAGGCAACTGATCTTTCTTGTTTTCTTCCTTTGAAAATGTTTCACTTCCTATCTGAGAAGCTTCTTCAGTTCTGAATTAAAGAACTGAAAAAGCTTCTTGGATAAGAAGCAAAATATTTTCAAAGAAAAAAGAAAGAAAGTCCAGCTACGTTTTGGAAAAAAGCACCTTTGGGACAACCATGACCTGGATGATTGAGAAGTTCTATAGACATAGACTGTCCATAGACTTCCATAGACTGTCTGGAGAGCATTTTTTATTTTGTAAATAGTCACATTCTGCAAAATAACTTGCTGAGTTTCAGAAGAATGAACTAATTTCTCTGATTATTGCACATAACATGAGTTTCGTTTGAATTTAGAAAAAATATATTAATGACTATATCTAGACAAAAAGTTATTTCTGTAATAGAAAAGTATCTTTCTTATTGCCTTAATCGCTATTAACTTTATTATTTAAAGCAATTGTAAATATGACCCACTTTTATTTTGTAAAGACTTAGAGCTTGCTCAATTTGTTGAGCATTTCTGCTGAGTGGTGTGTTTGACTAGATAATCCTCTTTAAGATTAAGGATCCTTGAGAGACTCCCACCAAAATTAAAATGCTGCAATCATAATTGATACGTGCTATGGATTATCAGACTTATTCAGAACAAAGATGAAAAAATCCACACATCTTTTACATGGTTGTTTAAGTAGCTAGAGAAAAAGGAAAGTAACAGAGGATAAGTGGTCACAGTGGAAATGTCTATATCAAGCCTGTACAGCATATGGCTTCAGGACCTCATGTAGCCAACCAAACAACCTTATGCAGCCTATCCAGATTTTTTCAAAAAGTAATAAATTTACAGTACCACTGCCACCAACCCAAAATAAATGTTGCCAAGCATCTCCACATTTTGCTGCCAGCTCCTCTTCTGCTGCTCCTTTAGTTGTGGAACAGCTGATTGGCACTCCAAATATTTACTAGTACTAATCTGAAATAATAGTGAAAATACAACGTATGCCTAAAGTCTAAAAATCATTCCATTTTCAAACAGTGTAGATCAGACATGATTTAACTTCCAGGCCCAAATGCTCGGGAAACCATTTCAGGATTGAATGCCTTATGCCTCCTGCGATGCTGCAACAGAAAAGGCACAATTTCTAGGTCCTACATGATGACATTTCCTAACAGAAGGGACCATGAATGTGTCAATCCTGCTTCTGGTGGACTGAGCAGAAGCAATCAGATACAGGCAGTCCTGCAATTACCATGGGTCTCTGCCATTGAGGGCTGTATAGGTGACAATAAAACCCTTAATTACATCCATAAGGGGCCTATGAAGATTTCAGAGCACAGATTTCACATGGTTGTATCACGATGTATCCAAAACTGCCTGTGCTGCTATATTCTGAAACATCGCAGCTTCCAAATACTGTTCAAGAGCATGTACAATACATTACAGTATGGGTAGTCCCCGCAGTGAAAAAAGTGACATGGGATTGGTTTTCACACTTACAACCATTGCAGCATCCTTATGGTCACGTGATCACAATTTGGGTGCTTGGCAACTGTCATGTATTTATGACAGTTCCACTGTCTTGGGATCATCGTATCACCATCTGTAACCTTTCCTGCCAGCTTCCGACAAACAAAATCAATGGGGGAAAGCCAGATTTATTTAATGACCACATGATTCATTTGACAACTACAGTGATTCACTTAATAACAGGGGCAAAAAGGCCGTAAAACAGGGCAAAACACACTTAACAACTGTCTTGCTTAGCAATGGAAATTTTGGACTCAATGGTGGTCACAAGACAACAACCATGTAATTTAATGGGGAAGTGCTGGAGGCATGATAAGGAAAACAGTGTAAATATCTACTTAGTCACAGTTGCTATCTGCTTTTTTAAAAGGAGCCGTGGTCCAGGAGATCTCCCAACTACACACCAGTTTGGTATATGCAGTGCTAACATTTTTTGAGATGAAGATGGAAAGTCTTGGAATTCAGCAGTGCCACAAAATCTACAGCCACATTAGACTTCCTTAGGATCAAAATATAAAAATACAGCTCCTCTTATGGTTATGTTAACCTGATGATTATGGTACATTATTTTTAGGAAATAGTACTTTGATCTTTTTTCTATCCTATGTTGATGGTATGGAGTAATCTAGAGTTCAAAATTAATTAAAATTTACATAGTTTGATAAATAAAATTGGTTTTTTTATAAAGTTGTGAAGGGGAAAGTCAATTCTTTATGTACTTCTTTTATTTTTCTTTTATTCTTTTGTAAATTTCCTTTTTATTTCTATTTTGTCTTTTCTACACCTTCTATTTTTTCTTTCTTTCCCCTAGTTTATATATTTTTTACTTTAAAGGATGAATACTATATCCCTAAAAGAACCTAGAGACAGTATTTACAATTACATTTACTGACATCCCAATTAGGGCGTACAGCGTTACTGGATGATTATTAAATCCAATGACACAAACCCCCTCTACAATTTCTTTTTATATAAATTCTGTTAGTGTAGATCATTTTGATATGCAATTTGTAATAGTTGAATGGAATAAAGAATAAGAGATTAGTTTACCTAGACAATGGAAAGAGCTGTTAACATCAATCCCAGAAATTTCAATAGATCTTAGATTACATTTTATTTAATAACAATAACAATATCAACATCAATACTTTAGACTTACTGAACTCCATTGTGTTTATATAGAAAAGGCTGGATAAACTGCCATGTTGTTAAAGAAAGATGAAGTCAGATTAATGCTTCGTGCAAACATATGGTTGTACAGTATTTATTATTGTTCTGCTTTGGGAAGAAATCATTACATGTAGTAACAAGAAGACTATTTAGTGTTATTACATGTTCATTTTTTATAGAAACTAAATTCCTATTGCATGGAAACTGACATTTGGACAAAGAAATTTAAAAAAATCTGCAGTATTCTACAGTTTTGAAAAGGTAAAATCCCTGTTCTCTATAGACTTCTGGGTTGATACTATTACCAAAACAGGAATGAATTAGTTATCAATATAAATTCATTTTGGATAATTATAATAAAATACAAAATACATCTAACATTAATTGAAATGCTTATGTAGAAATTTTATGCTTTTATGCATTCATAAATGTGTCCTGTTTAGTTTGGTTTTTTTTGTACTGTTTTTGGTTTCATTTTCTCTTTCTTTATAACTTTTCTGTACAAATGTAATGGACTGTGAGAATACCCTTGAGAGGGAGGAGGAACCTAGACAATGGTGAAATCTGAGGCCAAAAGTGGATGAAGAAAGCATCTCAGAATTTATCTTCTCTAGTTCTCTGGACAATAAAGGCAGGGGAGGGAAGTAGCTTTCAGACTTGCAAGACTCTGTTACTATGACCTTACAATAAAGATAATATTAGTATTCTTGGTTTTGGTTTCCTGGTCCGGACTCTCTTTTTAAGAATTGACTACTGTTAATTCTTCTTTGCTTTTTATATTCAATTGATAGATGCTCTTAAAAAAACCTAATTTTTATAATTAACTAAATATTTAATCTACAAATATAAAGATAAATTTATACATCTAGATAAATGACAGCTATGATAAATTATAAATCAAAGTTGGTATGTCTCACTACTTGGTTCCCATTACTAGGTTTTACGGTAACATGAAACAGACTCAGGTTTATACGACTTCACAGGATTTATTAAAAGTGAACTCATCCTGATTTTATTCTCAAAACCACTGTCACTTTATCAACATGAGATGTTAAGGAACTTTACAATATTGCATTTTAATGTTGTTAATTACAATTGTAATTAAATAACAAACTGCCAGTTTCTAAAGGATTCACATGTAGGGGAACACAAAATTTGAATGCATAAGTGTTTTTGAGCAATATTTTTGATATATGTTTAAGTGCCAAAGGACTGTTCTTTTAGTCTAGAATGGATGAAAACAAATGTCCACTTGAATACATGTAATAATACTAACCATATTATGACAGTATTTGTCATATTCACACAAATTCCCCCTTTTATGTCTATGCAAACAAAATAGCTACATGCAGCGTTATTTCTCTTAAGTATCTGGCAAGGCATATGACTGTTAGAAATTTGGCTGTGGTTAAAACAAAATTTAGCGCTCGTTAAAGCATTAAGAGAAATGCTGATGGAATCAAAGCAAATTGTCTGATAAAGCTGTAAAGTTATCCTCAACACACATAAATGATTGAATGCTACCATTAGATTCTCATGCAGACTCTTTTCCTGCAACTAGCAAGTAGCTACATAACCCTTCAGTGTGGTAACTGAGTTAAGAACACAGTGAATTCCAGTAGTAGCAGGAGTCACTATCTTGAAAATATTACATTAAGAGATTTTTCCATTTTATACTGTTGCTTCTTCTTCCTTCAGACCCACAAAAAACTGTGAGAATGTCAGCTCCTCCACAGCATGTTTTACCGATGTTCTCTAAATACACTTTGGGGTAGCTCGGTGTGGTAAACCAGAATTCTGTAAATTTACTATACATAACGTCCACTTTCAAAAACTTCCTTCTTTAGGTTTTGTCAAGCACATGTCATGAAGGAACTTTCCACACTTCAAGAGTGAAAAAAAGAAGAAAAAAAAGATAATTGGGTCCTATTTCCTCTCTGTACGTTGGTTTTAATGGGTGCTGTCAAAATATGTCCCTCACTGAATAAGTTTTTTTTTGGAAGAAACCAGAACTGAAAGGGTTAGGGTGTGTTACTGCAGTGGTTATCAGCAGACAGCCATCTAACCTTTGGTACTTACAGGAATTTTATGGCTCTTGATCATATTATCAAACTCTTCATTAATTTTTTTATATTTTTCTTCAGTGCGTGGGGTGAGGGCATAAGAGGAGTCGGGATCAGGGCTTTCACAGCCTTTGTTTTCTTTCTTGTTCAATGCCTGCCAGGTTCAGAGAAATATCAGAAAGTAAAAAAAAATGAAAGGGAATTCAGAGTACTTACACATAATCTTTGCCTGCTGATCATTAGATCAATATCTTCATTAATTTTCCTGTACTTGTCCTCAGACTCAGGGCTGTGACCTACTGAATCATCTGCATCGGGATCTGGACTGTCACAGCCATTAAGTCCTTTCTTTCTCAACGTCTGAAATACATAATTTAAAAAGTTGAAGCCTTGACAGAGGCTGCAAGAGCGATTCAGGGCCTTTACCGCAGTACAGACTGGTTGAAGGCTGTCACATTATATATTAGGGAGAGACAGTAAATTGAGATGTTTAGGTCAATAAACGGCAGATTTTGTTAACAAAGACAAAACAGAATTAGTAAATGAAGAGAGCATAACTTCTAATAAAATATCTGTATTACAATCACAGCTTTTCTCTGGAATGGAAACATCAATAGTTTAAACACACACAGGGCAATGAATTCAATTAAAAAAAAACTAGTAGTTCATAGTGAATAGAATGGCAGTACAGTATCAAGCCTACAATTGTTCTCATATTAATCTACAGATCAATCTGTCCTGATACTGCTCTGTAACAGCACTAAAATGAAGCAGTTAAAGTGATAATGGCCATGTAGTTGTCAAGATACTCTGACTCTTACATGTAATACCATAACCTGAAAAATCTTGTTTTTTAAAAAACATTTTAAATCAGTTTCTATAAAGTAAAACCTAATATAATCACTTATCTACAGTAGCATGATCTTCAACATTAATGAAATGCTTTGATCAAAATTTTTCCCTTGACACATAATCTTACAAAAAAGCAAGAGAAACTGAAATAATTACTTATGAATCACTTTGGATTTATAATCCATAGAATCAGGTTAAATTTACAATTTTACCTTCCTATCATCTTACTAGAAGTTTTATCAGAATTTTGAGACAAGTCTTGCTGTACATCAAGTTTGAATTTGGATTTGACATACTGAAAATTAATACATTTTTAGCATCTTGTAGTATTTATTTTTTTAGAAAAAAAATCAACTTTTTTTCAATCCTATAGAGAAAATACCAATCAAAGAACATGGACCATTCAGATCTCTGAGGTGCCAACAGTCTGCACAAAAAAGTTAAGAGATTTGAAATCTAAAGAGGAACAAATCTTTTTTTTTTTTTTTTGCAGTGCATCTCAAATGTCTTTCTCTGTCATTGAAGACCAGCCAGGTCTTATGCTCCTTGCTCCCATTAGGAAGATTTATGTCTTGAATAATACAAGGAGGCAGGAATTTGTGCAGTATATTCCCAATATACCCTATTGTGAGTATAACATTTGCCACTCTTATTGGCAGTGCAGAAAGTTCAATAAAAATGCTTGGTAGCATTTCTGAATGTCAGCTCTTATTCAGTCTCATTTTAAAAATTAGGAAATTTTTGTTGTAATGATTAAAACAAACTATATCCATATAACTTTTTATTTTTACAATCCATAGCTGAAAATCCAGTGATAGGTTGAGAACTTTAGGGATGCTGAGATTTATTTAGTGGGAACAAGATGCTGAAAAGATGGAAAAGGAACAGATGATGCTAAGGACAATTTCCAAAGGGAATTGTAGGAGAAAGCCCCCCAAATAAAACCTATGAAATGGCAATGGCAAAAACAATATGTCTGTATGATAAAAACAATTTGTATGGGCACCACAATAACATTTATATGAGTTTGAGCACCAAATGGAGGACCAAAGCCACTTATCTGAAAGACTATTGAACTTTTAAAAGTAGATCTTGAGATAATGACAGAGCCAGAAAAAAAGCTACAAGAAAGTCTGGTCACTGATGGCGCAAAAGGCACTTGTACTCTTTAGAACACAAGGTGTACAAGAGTTTCTTATTTCACAAGAACATATGCAACTTGAATATGGAATGTGAGAAGCATGTATCAAGTAAAACATGAAACTGTCTAAGTATGGACTAAGGAACCATGACAGTTTGTAGGGTGGAAGGTGCCAGATTGGGAAAAGATGTATTTCAGACAATCCAGTCTATATACAACCTAATTAAGTAAAATCCAAATGGCAAGAATAGTAGATATACAACTCTTCTACAAATTTACTCAGACTTCAGTGTCCTGAGGCCCTAGCACAAGTTAAGTTTAATCATCTAGGCATTCACCAAGAGCCCAGGAAGAGAGGAGAGGAAGGGGTGAATGAGTACACTTCAACTGATCTGAAAAACATGCAAGTTGGATTCTTGTTCCATGAGAGCTCAGCACTTCACAATCTGACATAAGGCTACATCACTAGGCATCAGCAATCTTACGTATTCTAGACATTCACACCTGTCAGCAACTCTGCACCTGTTGTCTACTCTGGCAAAGACCAAGTGACAGCAGCCAATCACAGCAGCTCCTGCTGCAACATGGCCATACATGGCTTTTCTCAATCGTGTTTCTGTGTACTAAGGCTGCTAATCTCTGTGGATTTCAGCAGTCTGCTTTTTGTCCTTGTAATGGTGTCACAGTTTTCAGTTCTTCACTGAGTTAAGTGTTTAAGAATGACACATGCTGTTTCTTATACAAGTTTCCTTCCCACAATAGCCCACATATGCAAATGGATTTTAAACTTGTTTATACACAAGTCCAGATTATCTCTTCAGTGCCATTTTTAAAAAACGTTTTTGTTCTCATTTGAAGAAGAAAATTCTTTTGCTTTATAACAGCTCCTCAATTAAACTTTCTGTACGTGGGCACTGTGGGCAAAATCTTACAGTAATATGATTATTGTAAAACTTAAAATAAAGATGTATTGATATTCAGCCAATATTTTAAGATTGGCTTAAATATTTTCCAAATATTATCTTTAGGATGAGTAAGGCTTCTCCATTAAGATGTAAGTTTATACACACCTTATTATTTAGTGAAGTTAAATTCAAACCTGTTCGGTTTTTTGCCACCTTTTATATATATAGAAGTAGGGCATTGAATGAATGTATCACTGTACAAGTGCCTGTGCTAAAAATATTTTTTCCTTATCCACTCTGTTTGTATTTTCTTTATAAGAACAATATAATGAACTGAAAAATTAATTTCTTCTAACTTTTATTATTTGATCAGATTATTCCCTAATATCAATAAAACAATTGCACTAATGCAGTTATCTAATACCTTTTCCATCTAATAATCCATGCTCATCTGAAGGTTTTTTGTTAAAAAAACACAACCCAAAATAAAACATTTCAGATATTATTAGCATTTACTTATTTAATGTTAGTAAGACTCAGATAAAGGACATGGTGGCTCAGTGGCTAAGACACTGAGCTTGTCGATCGAAAGGTCAGCAGTTTAGCAGTTCGAATCTCTAGTGCCGCATAACAGAGTGAGCTCCCGTTACTTGTCCCAGCTTCTGCCAACCTAGCAGTTCGAAAGTACGTAAAAAATGCAAGTAGAAATATAGGGACCACCTTTGGTGGGAAGGTAACAGCGTTTCATGCACCTTTGGTGTTTAGTCATGCCGGCCACATGACCATGGAGACGTCTTCAGAGAGTCCTGGCTCTTTGGCTTTGAAACGGAGATGAGCACCGCCCCCTAGAGTCGGGAACGACTAGCACATATGCGTGAGGGGAACCTTTACCTTTACCTTTAAGACTCAGATAAAAGCACAAACAATCTAACATGAATTTGTATATGGTGATATGAAAGCTGTATCTTCAATGACTAACACACAATTTCTGACAGATACATGCTCAAGACCTTAGACAGAAAGAAATGCTTTCACTTCCCAATTCTGAAGTTATACAAGCTCCTAAGTGACTTAGCATCTCCATCTCAATCTTTGAGGGTGGAGGAAAGATCATATACTGTAGGATAAAATATCAGAAGAGGAAACTGGAAGACATCTGAGGAGCTGACAAAGCTGAATTTAAGATTTAGGAGACATACACACCACATGACTGCCTAATAGGAATCTCCTGCATCAACTTTCCAATTTTTTTCAACTATGCCACCACCATTTTATGTTAATATTGTTTCCTTCAAAGCTCAACTAAATGCCTGCTCTCCATTTAGCAGCCAGAGGAAATCCTCACTGGAGTAAGACTAATGTTCTGTCTGTCAGTGTTGCTGTTTCAAATAAAGTACTCTTGTTCCTAAAGCCCAGGATTAATCCTGGTCAAAGCAGCAACCGATAATTTTCATTTACCATATAACTTGGCTTAATTTTTAAAAGAAGCATAAATACAATCCAATCTCAGCAATAAATGAAAAACACTTTAAACAGAACTTAAACCTTTTTAAAAAAATTTAAAAATATGCTTGCCGTACCATGAAAGCAAAATGTACACATTGGGGCTAGCTACTGTGAGAAATAGAAGACTGTAAGAGACTAGTGAAGCTCAAACAAAACAGAACCCCCTTTTAGTCCAGCATTTGTTTTAATTGTGTACAAATGGGAAATAAAACATTATGTCAATTCCAGTGGTGTTACTCTAATCAGAATATTTATTTCAGTTATGCGTGGTTTACAAACTGAAAATAGCTGGCTTTTTTCCCAAAGACAACATATCATTTATCTACATATATATCTACATGAAGACAGATCCATATATAGTACCTTGACTTTCAAGACTTTTTCTAAGAAGCTATTCCATGTGCTACACACAGGGAAAATTAGATTGCCCAGTGAAGGCCAGACTAAATCTGAAGAGACCACTATTGATTAAGGTATCCTTTCCATTCATATATGAAGTCCTTGGAAAGGACAGACTTTGCTGAATTCTTCCTTTGTCCCATGTTCAATCTCCCAGAACTTGATTGCTCCAGATATTGTCTTAAGTGAAATGGGCTACCGTAAAGGCAGATTCAATACTTCTAGCTCAGCCTTATGTTTTAAATGAGGAGGTATTAGATATGTGAAATTAACAAAAAAAAAGTGTATCTGTCTCTTCTAACCCTACAGGGTAAGACAATCTGGCTCCAAGCTGAATATGCTGGAATGATACACCTGCTTGCAAACACATGTAGACATTCCGTCCATATTTTATTTGTTTAGAAAAGAAACAACAGAAGTACATAAACCTTTGAAAAATATATATATGTAAATCTGTGCCTTAAGCTTTAGAAATAAAGACCTGTATCTTTAGTATTAATTTTCTTTACTATTTTCATGTCCTACAAATGTAAAAATGTTAATTAAAGCACTCTAAA